CACACACACACACACACACACACACACACACACACGTGTGAATTGTATTCTGAGATCAGAGTGACCGACCGCAGCAGGACAGACACGGTTTGTGACGAAAACCTGAAGAAACAGAGAAACAGCACACTAGCATACTAACTATCACTACTACTGCAGTATGCACACTGACAACACACTGTATGTGAGATTCCTGTAAGCAAAGAGCCTCAAAAGACTCATTATTTATTCTGATTGCTAAAAGTTAAGATATTTTAACACAAAATAATACTACAACTGGATAAAAACACTACAGATCACTTACTGTAAAGCCTGACATATGAAATAATTTTTAGAACCTTATACAAAATATTTTTTAAATAATCTAAAAAAAAAAAAAGTTTTGATATGTGTTGTTATTGATCCATCAGGCTTGTATGGCTCATTTAGTCTGATATAGTGAGGATATGATGGAAAAACAGCAGTTTTTATACAAAAATATGCAGTTTGCTACAGATGCTGATATTTCTATGATGAAAGTCTGATGCTTGTGATGTAAATCAGTGAGATCTTTATAGCAGTGCAGCAGATACTGACATAAAATGCTATAAATATCAGTCGTGGCTCTATATCTCCAGTAATAAGATGAGATTGAAATGATCCAAACATATAATGCAGTGATTGAGAGCTGAAGAAATAAAGGCTCCTCAGAAGATGTGAGATGTTCTGGAGGCTTGTGAAGATCATTCCTCCGCTGAGGAACAGTGAAAGTAAAGCTTCTGGAAACAAACGCTCCTCAAAAGATCCTGAGGATCAGATTTGAGACTCTAAAACATGATTGATGGAGAATCAAGTAAAGCTGAGCTGCTTCAGTCCAGTAAGTGTTCATCTGGAGATATTACTGCAGTTATTCTGACGCTTACTTGATAAAAACCAGTCAAGATTTGACACGAGAAGCTCCAGCTGAAACTGGACGTTTGGACAATTACACTAAAAGAGCTTTGACTGGAGAAAAACTCTTCAGACTTTTCAGGTTCTAATCATTTAGAGGGCCTAGAAATTCAAATGTCATGTATGATTCAGTAGGGTTAATATAAACAGCATACAGCATATTTAATCTAGTATGCACTGCAGTAAGCAGCAGCACACTAGCAATCCATTCTGAACAGGATCATGTGACCAAATCCGAGTGATCTTATTGGTCACTCGCTGTAGAACTGGCCAGCAGTAAAATAACAACATATAATTATCAAATATGCATAAAAGTCTCTCACCGCGCCTCATCAGGGTGTGTGACTCTCACAGAGTCATTAGGAATGTAGATCATATTCGTGTCTTCAATCTTATAAATCGAGTGGCCGCCGATATCCGCCATCCTGCGGCGTTTAGTGATCAACACGATATAGTAACCCTCCAGAAACCGCACGAAACCTGAAAGACACGAGAGAGCAGAGAAACTCATGCTGGGGTTTTACACTTTACAGTAAGTTCTCATTAGTTAACATACAATACATGAGTTAGTTTATGATTTAGCACCATGGCGAGAGAAAGCGAAAATATAGGAAAAGTGGGAAAATAAATAAGATTTATTTATTTGAATTGCATATACAATTTCCACCCGTTTGAATTACAGTTTTATCATAAACTAATAAACTTAATGTGATGCACATTTGGTATATCAATAGATCAGATTTCTGTAATATTACTAATAAACTGAATATCAGGTTTTATATTTGTATTATCAATAAATCCAATTTGTTTCAGTCATACATTTTAACTAATTAATTATTCACAGCTAGCCATATTTAACCATGTTCATACTTTTCAACAGAATACATTTTATTGCTTTCACAATTAACAGATTTTAGCTGATTCTAAGCGATTTAAATAAATGCATTTTGAAAATATGATTGTTTAAATAAATTTAAATTGCTACTTATAAATAATAATAAACTATCATTTTTTGAGTGAAGAAATCTGACCTGTTTCATTTATGCATGACTGACAAAAATGCATCATATTAAGTTTATTAGTTTATGTTAAAACTGCATAATTATAAATGGATGGAATTTTATATGCAATTCAAATACATAAATCTTACATTTTGGTTGATGTAAAACAACAAAATTACTACAGCTAACTAAAATTAAAACAGAAAATATATCAATAAAAACGTATTCAAAATATTAATAAAAATGTATTTAAAAAAATTACTTTGTTTCTTCATCAGATTTGGAGAAATGTAGCATTGCATCACTGTCTCACCAATGGAAGTGAATGGGTGCCGTCAGAATGAGAGTCCAAACAGCTGATAAAAACATCACAATAACTCCAAATCTGATGAAGAAACAAACTCATCCTAATCTCGGATGCTCTTGAGAGTGAGGATATTTTCAGCAAATGTTCAGTTTTGAGTGAACCATTGCTTTAACTGTGCATCAGACAACAATATTTCCATTTCTTTCATGTTTAATGTGCATTCAGAGGCGAACACATCACTCTAATGACGAGATTTGAGGGTATAATCAACCGCAGAATCAACAATAACATGCCGTGTTTGTCATGAATCTATCAGGTGTGCCACACACACGTCAATGTTCTGATCTACTTGTTTGTGCACTAAATTCGCACTTCTTATTACTTCCACGACACCCGCTCCCTCAGCAGAAGGTGATTTGAGGCGTATGGAGGTTGTATAAGACACGATTTTGATGACTAACACAACTAAAAGTGAGATTTGACCAGATGTGTGTCAGCAGAAGTAGTGCTGTTATTGTTAACTAAAACTCTTCAAATCGATTTTGTTAATTGAAATACAGCTGAAACTAAATAAACATTACATAAACAGTAATGCGTTGCACTTGCAATGCCAAAGTCATGGGTTTGATTCCCAGGAAGTGATCAAATGTATAGCTTGAATGCATTTAGAGTCACTCTGGATAAAAGCATCTGCCAAATGCATGAATGAATGCAAAACATAAATATTAGACGATAGATGAAAAAAATTATAAGTTACTTTGGAAACTTACTGAAATAAGTTAAATTGAATTACTAAAACTTAAATAAATAAATTAAGGTTAAATATATATATATATATATATATATACTAAATCTATTAAAAAAACTAATAAAAATTACAAAGGTATAACAAATTAAGAAAACTAAAACAGAAATAAATAGAAATTAAAGCTACATAGATATATAAAAAAAAAAACCGTAAAAATGACAAAAGCGCATAACATGACAAAACTAAAATAAAGCTAAATAGAAATATTAAAAAACTACTAAAAATGACAAAAACACAAAATTACTAAAACTATTTTAAAAAAATGACAAAAGAATAACAAATTACTAAAACAAAACCTGAAATAAATAGAAATTAAAGCTAAAAAGATATATATATAAAAAAAACTTTAAACAAAAAAAAAATAAAATAAAAATGACAAAAGCACATAACAAAATTACTAAAATAAAATTGAAAAAATATATACAGTAAAGCCAAATAGAAATATGTAAAAAACTAAAAACTAAATCTAATAAAAATGACAAAAGCAAATAACATGACAAAACTAAAATAAATGTAATTTATTAAATGTAATTTATTACATTTATTACAAATATAAAAAAAAACCTAATAAAAATGACAAAAGCACATAAAATTACTAAAAAAAAACTGCGGTGAAACAATGGCGGACTGATGACAGTCACTCAGGGCGGAGCTAAGGTAAGACGCCAGTCCAGTCTGTGCTGAAACGCTACTGTCAATCAAACTATTGTGGGAGGGGCCTGTCTGTGTGACGTCACACAGACAGGCATCTGAGATCGGCTCGATTTGAGAAAGGGGAAAACATTTAACCAGATTAAACAAAAAACACTGGGAGGATTTTTATCATTATAGGGTGGTTGTGTACACACACTGCCAACACACATTTCAGTTCAAACAACTTAACTACGTAAAAGTGCATGTAGCATCCGATGACCCCTTTAATAAAAGAGCAAAGAAGTTGGACATTTTATTCAAAAAAGGTTTAATATGTTATTTCCACCACAGAGTGAACAGTGATTTAGTAAAAAAACCAATCTTTAAAATAAAATAAAATAAAATAAAAAATAAAATAAAATATGAGATGATAAACATAAAACTAAATTTTAAAATGTTTCCTTGGCAACAAAAGCACATAATTACTCAAACTAAAATAAATAGAAATTTAAGCTATAAAAACTAAACCTAAAAAGATAAAAGCACATAACAAACTTCATAAAACTAAAATAAAATATAAAAAACTAATAAAAATGACAAAAGTGCACAATATTATGCACTTTAGAGTTCATAACAAATTACTAACACTAAACTAAAATAAATATAAATTAAATCTACACAGAAATATAGCAAACAAAAAATAATAACATGACAAAAGCACATAACAAAATTACTAAAACAAATATAAATTAAAGCTACACACTAACATAAAGTAAAACTAATAAAAGACAAAGCAAAAATTACTAAAACTAAAGTAAACAAATTAAAGCTACAAAGAAACATGAAATTACACTAATAATAAAAATTACAGAACACAACAATTTTGACTAAAACTAAAATAAATATAAATTAAAGCTACATACAAATATAAAAAAAAGGTTTAAAATGTAAAAGTAAAATGGGTTGAAACATCATTTCATGTTGCCTTGTTTGTGAAGATTGTGAGCAGCTCACCTTATCATCAATAATGACCAGATCTCGCGGTTCAGTGCGGTCGATCTTCAGGACACGATGTTTCGTTTGAGCGTTATTACTGCCCACCAGAAAATACCTCTGAGGAAACCAAAACAAACTAAAAATGACAATCTATTAACCATTTTGGAAAAGCAACTAACATATATTTTTAAATGGCCGAATGGGTGAAACTCAGGAAAACGTGAGTGTCACATTACATCCTAATATTGAAGAAAAAATAAATAAAAATAAAAAAATTCCGTAAAATTTACGGTAAAAAACCGGCAGCTGTGGTTGCCGGAATTACAGTATTTTACCGTTAAATTCACGGCCATTTTTTACAGTGTATATATATATTCATATTTGCATAAGGAAAATGAATGAAGCCATTAAAAATCAACAATTAAGAACACTTACACTTCCAGAAGTCATTTCAATAAATTCTTGTTATTGCGATATCTTTAGCAAATTAGCAAATAATATTTAAATCACATTACAGTAATGCGAATTTATGAGTAAATTGTGTTTTAATTGTCATGAAAATGTCAAATGCAAGAAAATGACTATTTTCTTTATGCAAGAATACAACTTAGACGCACACTGAAGGAGGAACCTGAGCCATATTTACATTATATGACTATTAAATAAACTGGGGGAAAATGTGTAAAATAATAAAGAAATTACAAATTTATTAATTATATATATATAATACAAATTAATTATAAATAGATCAAAAATGAGATAGATAGATAGATATTAGATAGATAGATAGATAGATAGATAGATAGATAGATAGATAAAACTGGTTAACTCTTTGGAATAGTTAAGGAGTTTTAATGTTTCTGAAAGAAGTCTCTTCTGCTCACCAAGGCTGAATTTATTTGATCAAAAATAGAATAAAAATTGTGAAATATCATTACCATTTAAAATAAGTGTTTTCTAAGTGAATATCTGTTTTTTTATTTCTGTTTTTAGATATTCACTTTTATTTAGTGAATATCTAATTTATTCCTGTGATCAAAGCTGTATTTTCAGCATCATTACTCCAGTCTTCAGTGTCACATGATCTTCAGAAATCATTCTAATATGCTGATTTATAAATAATATTTCACGATATTACTGTTTTACTGTATTTTTGATCAAATAAAAGCAGCCTTAGCGAGCAGAGAAAACTTCCTACAAAAACAATAAAAAATCTTTATTATTCCAAACTTGTGACCAGTAGTGTACATTCAAATAAACTCTACTGTAAATAAATCAGCTTATTTGTAGTTGTTCATTGTCAACTACATATATTTGATCTTATATTATGATTCGACATACTTGATTTCGACAATTAAGCACACTTTCACTTACAAAAGTTATTCATTTTTACCATAATGTATCCAGATTTTCACTTGTGAAATTCTCATTAGACTTTTAAAATTAAAATCAAAATTTAAAATGCATACTGTATACTACAATAATGAGAACTTATTGGTAAAATTTGATTTAATTGCCATGAAAATAATGTCATAATAAACACATATGTGACCCCGCAGCACAAAAGTAGTCTTAAGTCGCTGGGGTATATTTGTAGCAATAGCCAACAATACATTGTATGGGTCAAAATTATAGATTTTTCTTTTATGCCAAAAATCATTAGGATGTTAAGTAAAGATCATGTTCCATTAAGATATTTAGTAAATTTCCTACCGTAAATATATCAAAACTTAATTTTTGATCAGTAATATGCATTGCTAAGAACTTCATTTGAACAACTTTAAAGATGATTTTCTCAATATTTAGATTTTTTTGCATCCTCAGATTCCAGATTTTCAAATATTGTATCTCAGCCAAATATTGTGCTATCCTAACAAACCATACATCAATGGAAAGCTATTTATTCAGCTTTCAGCTGATGCATAAATCTCAATTTCACAAAATTGAGCCTTATGACTGGTTTCGTGGTCCAGGGTCTCACATGGTCCTAAAGCAGACTTTATTTTATTTATGCAAAAATATAAATTCTTAATTTTTATTAAAACAGTGCACCAAACGATACAACACATTGAATATGTCATGGCTGCAGCTCAGACAGTGAATCAGACATCAGGTCTCAGTTTGATGACAGCTAAACACTGCCATCTAGCAGCACAGAGAGACATCAACATCTGTGTGACAGCTTCATATGATGCACATTCATACAGTCAGAAATCTCCTGAATGGATGTACAGTATATATTCATACACAGCTGCTGATCTGATAAACACGATATGCATTTAAAAGACTCAAAGCAATGCATTTATCCTTCGTGAATAATGACAGAAATGTGACTTACGGCTCTGGTCTCATAAAGCACCAGCTTCTGAACTCCTCTAATCACAGCGGCGTTCACAGGCATGATGACGCTTCAGTCCAATCAATTACACATAACTGATGAACACAACACATGCTGAGTGTCATAATCAGAGCTGGGAGATTACTTACAGAATCTAATCTGTTACTGGCTCCAGATTACATGACAAAAACTGTAGTTAGTAACGTAATCCATTACATTACACATTTTAGTTAATATAATCAGACTACTTTTAGATTACTTGTGACCTAACTCAATATACATAGTACCATATTGATATAAAAATACAAAGATTAGGAAAATATATTCCATTCTTTGTTATTAACAACATGAAGTGCATTAAACAAAATTGTGAAATATTATTACCATTTAAAATAGCTGTTTTCTATGTGAATATAATGTAAAATATAATTTATTTCTATGATGCAGCGCTGAATTTTCAGCATCATTACTCCAGTCTTCAGTGTCACATGATCTTCAGAAATCATTCTAATATGCTGATTTATAAATCATAATATTTCACGATACTACTGTTTTACTGTATTTTTGATCAAATAAACGTATTACGTTAAATCTTACATTTTATATCTTACACGTTTATCAGATCAGGAAACCCTGTAAACAAAGCAGCTGCACTACTTTCTGTTTCTGAATCGTGTTTAAATGATTTAAACAGACATTCAGATTTGTGTATTTGCTATGATGTTCATCACGGCGCCAAATACTTAAATATTTAGACTTAATAGGCTATTTATTTTCAATCTTTTTTTACATTTTAATCTTTAATCTGTGTAAAACTTTGAACTTTATACATTTTTCTGTATTACTTTATTGCATTTAAATGCTCAGTTATTTTTGTTATAAGAAAAAAGTTATACTGCATTATGACAGCACTTTTTTTAATACTACATTTTAATATCGTTACAATACCGTACACCGCGATAACAGCATCATCGATTAATCGCGACATGAAAATGTGATACCGGCACACCCCTAGTGTGTATAACATGTGATAATGTAATCCATAAAAAGTAACTGCAGTCTGATTCTGAGTATTTTAACGTAATCTAATTACAAGATTTTGGAATATGATTACGTAATCTAGATCACATGTAATGGTCATAACGATGCACTTTCATATGACAAAACTTCTCTATTATAGCTACAAATCATGAACAAATTTACATAACCATTGCAGAATCAGGAAAATGTTAATAACTTCATTTAAAAACGCATTTGTTTGCATTTAGCACTGCCTTGAATAAACTATTCCACATAACAGACATGACATATTTAGCTTACTTTTCATTATTTAGTCTGCTCTTTAGAAGCTACACAAGATATTTAAACGGCTCCCAAAAATAACTAACTAAATAAGATCAGTTTATACCGATTGTATTTGTAAGGTGTATGTAAACAACTGTAAGTACTTGAAAAACAAAACACATGAATGATAATCCAGGACTAATCTAATATGAGAATAAGATGCTAATGCTAATAACAAAATGAGGAAGATGTTGGTGTTTATCGAACCTATATGGACTGTTTACGGCCTTTGCGTTTTAAAAACAAGCCGGTTTCTAAATTACAGTGATGATAATAGACAGAATTCGAACAAGAACCAAATAAATAGCACTTACAGTCTGCGGACGCCTGCATGAGTGTCGATATATTGAGAAATGTTGTGTATTTACATGTGACTGTCATGCAGCTCAGCTGAGACGGAACCTCCGCTGGGACAAAAAACACAAACGGAAAAGCGATTTGAAAAACACGCACACTGACTGGACAAGTAGTATGAAAAACAGTCACAGTTGTTTTTGTCGCGTTGTGTTAGACAGATAAGTTAACTTGCTCTAAATGTTCATTCCCTGAAAGAAATACTAGTGTTTTTACATTTCTTAAGAACAAAACCCGCCAAAAATTACGCTAGCGCTACGTAACGAAGCTTCGAATCACTACTCTTCCTTTCAATTACTCAAATGTCTCATTAAAATCTCTACAAATTAATACAACTGATCCGAGATCAGGTAAAAAAAAAACTATAGACATTGGTTCAGTGGTCAGTGAACTAGTGATGGGAAACGAATCTTTTCGGAACTTCGAATCAAAATGATTCACTGATTCGAAGCACTCGAGTGATTCGAATCGCCACACGCTGGTCAAAACTGTGTAAATGCAAAAAAACATGCATTAAAAACAGCCTTTACAAACCCAATGCAAATGCTTTATTGAAAGTATAATATATTAAATGCAATTAAAATAATAAAATACCATTAAATAGGCTATGAAGTGTCTGTACAATGTGTTTTTTATTATTATTATTATTATTATAATTACTGCTTCGAATCACATCTGTTTGGAATCGTATGCATGTTCACTGTAGTGATGGGCGCTTTCGAAGCATCGAAACCTTTGTGAAAATGTTGTGTCGAAGCAGCGGTTCCGAGCGCATATCAAACTGCCAAGGTCACGCGATTTCAGTAAACTAGGCTTCGTGACGTCACAACCGTGTCTTGTCGTAATTGGTTCAATTGATTCAAAAGCTTAGATTCTCCAATTGCGCTTCTGTCACACTCTGCAGAGCGCATTTTAAAAGTCGGGTTAAGGTGAGTACTGAATTAACATATTTCTGCAGTCATAAAAATTGTTATATATCTTAGCCCAGCTATTTTAAACTGTTTGATTACATTCTAGGGTTGTTATTATTATTATGCATAAAAAAACTTTATGCAACATTGATAGGAACACTGAGATAAAAAAAACTAAAAAATTCAACCATCAACGCATTTTAAAAATTGTTAAAAATGTTAATTTTAAAATTTTGATATTAGTGCTACCAGTATGACAACATCAATATTGTAATTTTTTTGTAACATTTGAATTTTTAATTTAGTGCAATATTTTGTCATTGCAACATTTTAGTGTAATTTTCACTAGCAACTGCAATTGGATTTATATTGTAGACCTAAGTTCACTGTTATCCCACCGGTCACTATTGTGACCATCAACATGTTCACTCATTCTATGACCACACTCAACTAAACTGAATATATGTGAATTCATATATTAATACTAGACACCTTAAAGATAATGTGTACCAAAAATCTGTGTCATATCTTTATGTTAAGAAACAGTTGTCAGTGTTTTTATCGTTCATCGGCTGGAAACAAAAATCGCTTTGAAAGTGATTCCAATGATATAGTATGGTGCGAACTCTGCTATTCTCGTACATTTTTAAACTTTTTACATTTTATGGTTGTTAATATTTTTTTGATGTGAGCCTTCCTCCTTGTAGGCTATTGTGCTTGAACTTGTAAGCAGTGACTGTGAAGATGCAATGCTCCTCAGTTCCTGTAGATGTCGCTGTGTGTTAATGCATGGATTGAGCGCGTCTGATTTGTCCTGGCAGTTCATTGTGTTTTACTTCGGTTCAGCTCAGTTTTGACCTTGAAAGGCACATTTTCCTCAATATTCATTGGTTTGTTTTGTGTACAAGTGTGTGTAAAGTTAATAATAAATTAGTCTTGCAGTCTATTATGTAATAGGGTAGTTTACTGTCCTTGTTGAATTTTATTTTATTTTTTTTTAAAGTTTGGTTTATTTTAATACTGACTATGGCTTGTTATTTATTTTATTTTAATTTTAATTTTTTCTTCATTTTCACTTGTTCATGAGTGTATGCCGATACAGAAAAAAAATGAGACGGGCATGTGCACGTTTGTTTTTTTTTTATACATTTTGGAAAATTAAATAAAAAAAGAAATATAGAGAGATAGCAAGACATTCAAAACAAGGGAATGAATGAATGAGATACATGTTCATATTGTCCCTCAGAGAGTCATCTAACATGGGCAGGCCCTGCTAGAGGTTTAACTAGTTCCTCTCTGCTGTATCCTGGCTGTTATTTTGACAGTATTATCACTGAGGGAGAGATAAGTTGTCTTGGGAATCGGCGTGGCGCCGGTGTGTCCCTCCCCCGGTCAGACAGGCATCCCGGGGTTTGTGTTGGCGGCACCCCAGGGTTCTGGGAAGCATCGTGCTGAGCCACTGAAAGCCCCAAAACCCGTGTGCACCCTCGCTAGGGTCCCTCTGCTGCATCGTTTTTCAGAATCACTCTTTGTGTTTGTTTCCATTTCCTTGTCTAACTTTCTTCCGAATCCTACAGTTTTCCTGTGCTAAACAAACACATTCTGTCATCCTGAAACATCCTGAAAGATTGGTCTGTCCCGCACCGTTACATTGACTCCAGATCCAAGATTTTTGTCACCAGAGGAAACGTCTATTACTCTGAAGTTTTTCTTCAAAGATAATGAGACTTGGAGGAAAATTTGCTGAAAATCTAGATGAGTTTGTTTCTTCATGGGAACAGATTTGGAGGAATGTAGCATTGCATCACTTGCTCACCAATGGATCCTCTGCAAGTGAATGGGTGCCGTCAGAATAAGAGTCCAAACAGCTGATAAAAACATCACAAGTAATCCACGCCACTCCAGTCCATCAGTTCACATCTGGAGAAGACAAAAGCTGCGTGTTTGTTACAAACAAATCCATCAAGACGTTTTTAACTTCAAACCATTGCTTCCGGCTAAAATATGAGTCCATAATCCATCATGACGCTTCCTCCAGTGAAAAAGTCCATCTCTTGTTGTCTCTCACATCAAAATCCACACACATATTTGTTTAGAGTTTAGTGCTTGATCTGTGCAGATTTCTCTCCTGATTCAGACCAGACCACTTTTCACTGGAGGAAGCGTTATTATGGATTATGGACTCAACAGTTTGAAGTTAAAACGTCTTAATGCTGGATTTGTTTCAGCTTTTGTCTTCTCCAGATGTTAACTGATGGACTGGAGTGCTGTGCATTACTTGTGGATTATTGTGATGTTTTTATCAGCTGTTTGGACTCTCATTCTGACGGCACCCATTCACTTGCAGTGAACAAGTGCTCCAATGCTACATTTCTCCCAATCTGATGAAGAAACAAACTCATTTGCATCATGCACTCTTAACCCGAATTAGTTGACTTTACTAGAAATTTGCAAGGAAACCCGTTGCACTAAACCATTCTAGTTTTTACACAAGGTGAAACTAAACAGCTTTAGTTGAATTAACATAGAACCTTAAGTTTATGCAGTAGACAAATCAAGTTTACATTAGTAGTCTTTACTCAAAATCATTAGTTCACATCAATTATTATTTGGAGTATACTGTAGGTTGCATAAAATAACTATTGCAAGTTACAACTACAAAAATATATATATTAGCAAATAACATTAACAAATGTTTTTAAGTAATGATAAATGTTATATTTATGTAATGTCAATGTAATTAGACATCGATTTTAAGATTTGTTGTATTAAACATTGTTTCAAATAAATTGGAAAAAAAAAGAAAAACAGATTTCAATGCACAAATGTTTTTTTATTGTTCACAAAAGAAATGGTAACTTGTCAGCCACAAGACAAGTAAAAATAAGCTTTGAAACAGCTTACTAACAATTGTAAATATTTTGTAGAAGAAACGAACACACAGTATTCAACAATACATCTCTTGTGAATGCCTGGATATGCATTAAAAACTGGGCATGCATTAAAACAGAGGAAAGCCTCTGTAACTTTAAACTTGGCTGAAGAATTGTGTGAACACACATTAACTGAGCACTAATATGCAGTGACAGAACACACTTTAATCTCTTATACGGCAAATAAATTAATCAATAAATGTAGAGCAGCTCAGACAATTTGATTTTGCAAAAATATGATGAGAATTTTATACTGAGGTCTCTGAATTGGTATCTTGAGTGAATTTGAGCACAGTTCGAGTCGTAACAAAATGACCGTTTTTCTGAGATCTTGATGTGCATCTGTGTGTGAGATACAAAGGTTTTGCTCGTCTCCTTGAGACGGTTTCAATAAAGTCATATGTGAGCGTCAGCAAGGCACAGCTTTGACTAGAATCACAGATAATCTCAAGTACACGACGGCCACAAAATACAAACACCTGCAGGAAACGTGATCCTTCTCAATGAAACGCACTGACGAAGAGATACATGCTATAGTACTAACTAGATATAATCATACTTAGCCAGTTGACTGATTACATTAAACATGATTACATGTATTACGAGTTTCTGAAATGCTATGTTTAAATATGGAAATGAGGCTTTATCTAATTAAATATCTGCTAATTTGCATACATTTCCAGAAGATTAATCTGAACACTGGATAACGCCAGGTTCAAAATTCTTGTTTGATTTTGTTGACATATTAGAGGCAAAGGTTTTTACAGAGGGGATTTTAGATTTCTCTTTTTATCCCTCCATAAATCAGAAAATACTGTCAACAGCCCCCAAAAAAAATCACAATTTTTTAGGAATAAACTGCTAATTTCAGGCGTATAATAAATAAACAAACCCCTCAGTAAAAACTTTCCGAATACGGATAGGAATAAAACTGTTAGGTTTGGTGTATGTAAGTGCTGCTGAAGTGGAGAAAAAAATTCAGTTTGAGAAACTGGCTTTTAAAAGATATGTATTGTAATTGAAATCTACAGATGCAAATAGATAAAGTGCAAAAATAAAATCAGGTGAATAATATATGAACAAACCCCTCGGTAAAAACCTTCAGAATATAGATTACAATAAAATGGCTAAGTTTGGTGTATGTAAGTGCTGCTGATGTGGAGAAA